GTCTCTACTAAAAATATAAAAAATGAGCTGGGTGTGGTGCCTGTAATCCCAGCTACTTAGAAGGCTGAGGCAGGAGAATCATTTGAACCCAGAAGGCGGAGGTTGCACTGAGCGAAGATTGTGCCATTGCACTCTAGCCTGGGCAACAAGAGCTGAACTCTGTCTCAAAAACAACAACAACAAAAAAACACACAAGCTACTAAATAACCTAATAAACCAAAACCAGAAAGAAACAGGAAGAGAGCATGACTCCACAAAATAAGAGTAATGAGGAGCAGTAAATATTAAACCAGAAAAAAATTGAAAATAAAAAACAACTTTACAGAATTATATGCAAATATATTGCAAAACAGATATAAGATGGATAATTTTTTAGAGAAACAATGTATATGAAAATGACTCCATTAGAAGTAGAAAGATTAAAATAGACCAATTTCTTTCTTTTTTTTTTTTTGAGATGGAATCTCGCTCTGTCACCTAGGCTGGAGTGCAGTGGTGCAATCTTGGGTCACTGTAACCTCTGCCTCCTGGGTTCAAACAATTCTCGTGCCTCAGCCTCCTGAGTAGTTGGGGCTACAGGCATGTGCCACCATGCCCAGCTAATTTTTGTATTTTTAGTAGAGATGGGGTTACATGATGTTGGCCAGGCTGGTCTCAAACGCCCTGACCTCAGGTGATTCATCCCCTTGGCCTCCCAAAGTGTTAAAATTACAGGTGTGAGCCATTGCGCCCGGCCAGTCAAATGATTTTTAACAAGGATGCCAAGACAATTCAACGTGCAAAAGACTATCTATAGCGTGCTACCTTTCACGTAAGAAAGGGAGGAGTATAAGAAAACATATATATGTCTGAAATATACATGTTTCTGCTCATTTGTGCAATAAAAACACAGAAAGGATAAACCAGAAACTATTGATATTGGTTATCTGTGGGCATGTGGTAGGAACACAGTGGGAAAGATAGGGAACCTGGACAGGATGGGGAGGTGGAAAGTGACAGATTTCTGCGTATAGCTTTCTGAGTGATAGCTATTTTGTCGTATACATAGTCATATGCTAAATAATGACATTTTGGTTACAGTTTGCATATATGATGGTGGTCCCATAAGATTATAATGGAGTCAAAAAATTCCCATTTCTAAGTGACATCATGGCATTGTAATGTCATAACACAACACATCACTAATGTGTTTATGGTTATGCTGGTGTAAACAAACCTACTGCAGCCAGTCATATAAAAGCATAGCATGTATGGTTATATACAGAACATAATACGTGATAATGGTAATAAATGACTATGTTCCTGGTTTATTTACTACCCTATACTATACTTTTTAATTGTTATTTTAGAGTGTACTCCTCTATTTTTTTTTTAAGTTAGCTATGAAACATCCTCAGGCAGGTCCTTCAGGAAGTATCCCATAGTCATAGAAGATGACAGCTCCATGCATGTTACTGTCCCTGAAGACATTGGGACAAGATGTAGAGCTGGAAGACAGTGATATTGATGACCCAGACCCTGTGTAGGCCTAAGCTAATGTGTGTTCTTGTGTCTTTGTTTTTAACGAAAATGTTTAAAAATCAAAAAAATCAATTTTTAATAAAAAGCTTATAGAATAAGAATTTAAGAAAAAAAAATATATATATAGATTTTGAGACAGAGTCTCACCTGTCACCCAGGCTGGAGTGCAAAGGCACCATCTTGGCTCACTGCAACCTCCCCGGGTTTAAGAGATTCTCTTGCCTCAGCCTCCCGGGTAGCTGGGATTACAGGCACATGCCACCATGCCCAGCTAAGTTTTGTATTTTTAGTAGAGACAAGATTTCACTATGTTAGCCAGGCTGGTCTTGAACTCCTGACCTCAAGTGATCCACCCACCTAAGCCTCCCAAAGTGCTGGAAATACAGGCATGAGCCACTGCATCCAACCTTTAAAAAATTTTTTTATGTTATTATAAAAGAGTCGAAAAGTTTCTTAAAAAGTTAAGGCCAGGCGCAGTGGCTCACACCTGTAATCCCAGTACTTTGGGAGGCCAAGGGGGGGCAGATCATGAGGCCAAGAGATCAAGACCATTCTGGCCAACATGATGAAACTCTGTCTCTACTAAAAATACAAAAATTAGCTGAGTGTGGTGGCGTGCACCTGTAGTCCTAGCTACTTCGGAGGCTGAGACAGGAAAATTGCTTGAACCCAGGAGGTGGAGGTTGCAGTGATCCAAGATTGTGCTACTGCACTACAGCCTGGTAACATAGTGAGACTCCATCTCAAAAAAAAAAAAAAAAAAAAAAAAAAGGTTTATAAAATGGAAATGTTAAAGTAAGCTAAAGTTTTATTTATTTATTATATATATACATATAACTTTTAGATAGTCTCACTCTGTCACCCATGCTGGAGTGCAGTGGCATGATCTTAGCTCACTGAAACCTCTGCCTCCTAGGTTCAAGCAATTCTAGTGCCTCAGCCTCCCAAGTAGCTGGTATTACAGTTGTGTGCCACCGTGCACAGCTAATTTTTGTATTTTTTTTTTGTAGAGACGGGGTTTTGGCATGTTGGCCAGGCTAGTGTTGAACGTGGCCAACCCACCTTGGCCTCCCAAAGTGCTGGGATTACAGGCATAAGCCATCATGCTTGGCCCTAAGGTGTGTTGGGTTAACTTATTATTGAAGAAAGAAAATTTTTTAAGTAAACTTAGTGTAGCTTAAGTACATACAGTGTTTATAAAGTACACAGTAATATCCCAGGTCTTCACATTCACTCACCACTCACTCAACCAGAGCAACTTCCAGCCCTGCAAGCTCCATTCATGGTGAGTGCCCTACATAGATGTACCATATTTTATCTTGTATACTGTATTTTTATTGTACTTTTTCTATGTTTAGATACACAAATACTTGCCATTGTGTTACAGTTGCCTGTAGTATTCAGTAATCACGTGCTGCATAGGTTTATAGCCTGGGAGCACTAGGCAGTACCGTATATCCTGGCTGTGTAGCTGGCTATATCCATCTAGGTCTGTGTCAGTACACACTATGGTGTTTGTACAATGAGAAAATCACCTAATGATGAATTTCTTAGAATGTGTCCCAATCATTAAGCGATGCGTGACTGTAAATATACAGATGCTTCTCTACTTACAGTGGGGCTACATTCCAACTAAACCTGTCATAAGTTTAAAATGCACTCCATACACCTAAGGTACTGAACACCATGGTTCAGCCTAACCTTAAATGTGCTCAGAACACTTACATTGGCCTACAGATGGGCAAAATTATGTAACCAAAGCTATTTTATAAGAAAGTGTTTAAAATTTCTTGAAATGTATTAAATACTGTACTGAAAATGAATAAAAGATTGGCTGTATGGGTGCTTGAAGTACATTTTCCACTGAATGCATATCATTTTTGCACCATCATAAAGTTGGAAAATGGTAAGTCGGTCAGGCATGGTGGCTCATGCCTGTAATGCCAGCACTTTGGGAGGCTGAGGCAGGAAGATCACCTGAGGTCAGGAGTTTGAGCTCAGCTTGGCCAAATGGTGAAACCCCATCTCTACTAAAAATACAAAAATTGGCTGAGCATGGTGGCGGGCACCTGTAATCCCAGGTACCCAGGCGGCTGAAGCAAGAGAATCTCTTGAAGCCAGGAGGCGGAGGTTGCAGTGAGCCAAGATCAAGCCACTCCAGCCTGGGCGACAAGAGTGAAGCTTGTCTCAAAAAAAAAAAAAAAAAAAAAGACCGGCATGGTGGCTTACACCTGTAATCCCAGCATAGCACTTTGGGAAGCCCAGGTGGGCAGATCATGAGGTCAGGAGATTGAGACCATCCTGGATAACACGGTGAAACCCCATCTCTACTAAAAATACAAGAAATTAGCCAGGCGTGGTAACACACGCCTATAGTTCCAGCTACTTGGGAGGTTGAGGCAGGAGAATCACTTGAACCCGGGAGGTGTAGGTTGCAATGAGCTGAGATTATGCCACTGCACTCGAACTTGGGTGACAGATTAAGATTTCAACTCAAAAAAAAAAAAAAAGAAGAGAAAGAAAAAATGGTAAGTCAAACCATCGTAAATTGGGGACCATCTCTATATATATTTCCCAGATCTGTCTGCTGTGGGAGTCTCGAAGCAATGAAATCTCTGTAGCAATGCGCATACCTAATGCCCAGATCTTGGCTTCTAAATATCATTCCTCAACTAAAAGGAACTTCCAGCCGGGCACAGTGGCTCACACCTATAATTCCAACACTTTGGGAAGCCAAGGTGGGAGAATTACTTAAGCATAGGCATTCAAGACCAGCCTGGGCAACATAGGGAGATCTGTCTCTACAAAAAATAAACAAAATTAGCCAGATGTGGTGGTACAGGCCTGAAATCTCAGCTCCTCGGGAGGATGAGGTGGGAGGATTGCTAGAGCCCAGGAAATTGAAGCTACAGTGAGCCAAGATGGCGCCACTGCACTCCAGGAACTCCAGCATGGGTGACAGAGTGAGAACCTGTCTCAAAAAATAAACTAAAATAATAAACAAAAGGAACTTCCTTGGAGAAACATCTGGTTTCAGGACTAGACCTGGGAAAGTACACAATGAGCCTGGAAATTCTTGCTGTGCCAGAAAGTAAAGTTATCTTAGGGTCGCCTTGCTAATAAATCATCATCCAATGGTTTTGAAGAATGATGGGAACATGGTACAAGGACACAGGAATTAGCTTGAAAAGTCTCCCACTGGCCAAATCTGGGACAATTGAGCATCAAACATTTTTGAAAGTACTCAGTTGTAACCCTTTGAATAAAATAAGAATCCAGGAGTTCATATTGATAATGAGGGATCTAGAGATGAACAAAAAATTGTTTGGGTCCCCAATAAATCCATAGGGCAATAGGCAGGACAGTCTCAAACACATGAGCCCTGAGGGAGCTCTACCCTGGAGGAGCACCAACCACCCATGGAAGGCTCCCTGGAGGAGGTAATGCCCAGGCATGGGAAAGGCTGAGCAGGAACTCACGAGGAGCCTTTGTGCATCCTGGGCGTGCTCAGGGCCCACTGCTTGATCTTGCTCAGGCTCTGCTCACTGATGACGCGCCGGCCGTCAGAGGGCATACAGTCCACATACAGGTTGTAGAGCAGCAGTGCCTCTGTGTTCTTGCGTAGGGCGTTGGCCTGGACCACACGTTGCGTGAACACGCAAGGGTCCTCAGCACAGAAGAGAAGCTGGATCCGTGGCACCCAGTACTGACAGACCTGAAGGGGTGGCCTTCCTGGGGGCCAGGTGGGAGGGAGAAGAGGACACGTAGTCAGGCTTTTTAAGCTGAAGAACTACGTTCCAGCTGGCTGTGCTGCTGATGCCCAGTGGCCCTCAACAAGTTGTTTCCCTCTTCGGACTCCCGGTTGCATCTGTGAAATGGGCATGATGACATTCCCTGCCTGGCCCATCTCACGGGGTGTCATGGGCGGATGTGAAAGTGCTTAGACAAGGCCAAGCGTGGTGGCTCACGCCTGTAATCCCAGCACTTTGGGAGGCCTAGGTAGGTGGATCATTTGAGGCTAGGAGTTTGAGACCAACCTGTCCACCATGGTAAAACCCTGTCTCTACTAAAAATACAAAAAATTAGCTGGGCATGGTGGCAGGCGCCTGTGATCCCGGCTACTTGGAAGACTGAGGCACGAGAATCACTTGAATCTGGGAGGTAGAGGTTGCAGTGAGCTGAGATTGTACCACTGCACTCCAGGCTGGGCGACAGAGTGAGGAAAATTCACTTTTCAAAAAGAAAAGAGAGGAGGGCGGGGAGGAGGAAGAAGGGAGGGAAGGAGGGGGGAGGGGAGGAAGGGGGCGGGAAGGGAAGGGGGAGGGGAGGGGAGGAAGAATTTGAACAAGGAGTTATACAGGCATGGCTGTTCAAGTGCCCATCCCTTGATGCCACACACAGGGCAGGCATCGCTAATTGATGGGACTTGGGCTCAGAGCTTACATACCAAATAACAGCCACTTGCCCTTTCTGGGGTCTCTGAGTGATTAGTCCTCTGGTCCTTACTGGTCAGGGTGTTGGGCAAACAGAGCGAAGCAGAATCCAGACCTGGTCTGGCAGTGCCCTGGGCAGGGTTGGTCTCAGTCACAGGCCAGCCAGGACCGAGCTGGGGGTCTGCCTGGGGCAGCGGCAGGAGCTCGTACCTTCAGGGGTGACCCCTGCATTCAAGATGGGCCTTCCCATCTCATCTCGCACCAGGCCTTTCTCGTCTGTCTTGTGTACCAGGTATAGCTTCTTCTCCTCGTCGTAGTCCAGGACGCCTACCTTGCACCATTTGTACGTTAGCTTCGGATTCTTGGGGTCCTCTGAAACAGAAGGGAAAACCCCACCAGTGCTCTCTGCCATGGGTGCAGGAAGGGGCCTCTGAGTGCAGGCAGCAGTGCTGGGAATAAGTCTCAGAGGTCACCAGGCTGGCGTCTCTCCTGCCGGGATGCCCCCTTCTGCTCCAGCAGAGCTAGGGCCCTGCTTCCTCCCAGCCATGCTGGCCTCTGAGGAACCCCAGGCTGCAGGAGGAGTCAGAAAGACCAGGCTTCTCTGCCCTGGTGCTCAGCACAACCTCCACCAGGACAGAGAGACACACAGGCCAATGGGAGGCTGGGACAGGAGGCCACGAAAGCCCCAAGCTAATGGGAGACCTGCTGAGAACCCAGCTGTAAAGGTCATGGATGAGCTGGAGCCCCTTCAAAGTGACCAAAGCCAGGGTGAAGCCCTCCCCATAGGCCGCTCCTGGCTGCTCAGTCCCTGGGCCCCTCATCTGAGAATGGGGCACGGCAGGGCAGGAGCTGTTCTTCAGTCAGGATGGGCCTCCCACCAGTTCCCTGGGCTGAAAGCCTGTGCCCACTTCAGCTCACCTCCCACTGCTGCCCCTCACACATTTCTCTCCAGCCACACTGTAGGTCTGGCTATTCTTGCCACTTTTTTTTTTCTTTCTTTCTTTCTTTCCTTTTTTTTTTTTTCTTGAGATGAAGTCTCACTCTGTAGTTCAGGCTGGAGTGCAATGGCGGGATCTTGGCTCACTGCAGCCTCTGCCTCCCGGGTTCCAGTTCAAGCAATTCTCCTGCCTCAGGCTCCAGAGTAGCTGGGATTACAGGCGCATGCCATGCCCAGGTAATTTTTGTATTTTAAGTAGAGACAGGGTTTCACCATGTTGGCCAGGCTGTTCTTGAACTCTTGACCTTGTGACCCACCCGCCTCAGCCTCCCAGAGTGCTGGGATTACAGGCGTGAGCCCCCACGCCCGGCCATTCCTGTGACTTTGGACCTTGTTCGGCGGCAGGGCCTCTGCCCTGGCTGTGCCCTTGGCCTGGAACACTCTCCACTCAGGTCGCCTCACTGCTGGTTGTTCCCTTCACCAAGGAGAAGCCTCTGCGCCTAAAATGGCATCTCTGTCCCAGGCACTCTCTGACTTGTTAACCCATCCCGTCCCTCACAGTGCCAAAAGTCACACTATTTACGTATCAGCTTCTGGTTCGTGGCTGACTTGCTCACACTAGTGTCAGCTCCCTAAGGGCAGAAGCCACTTTGTCCCATCTTGGTCACAGCTGTGTCCCTGGGCCTAGAATGGAAACTGGTACATTGCCGATGTTTGATAAACTTTTGCAGAAGAAAGATGCACACACATGATGCCCAGCAGAGCAGCCTCGATACATAGTGGCTTAAAAACAAACTGAGGCAGGTGCAGTGGCTCACGTCTGTAATCCCAGCACTTTGGGAGGCAGAGGCGCGTGGACTGCCTGAGCTCAGGAGTTCGAGACCACCTTGGGCAACATGGTGAAACTCTGTCTCTACTAAAATACAAAAAAAATCAGCCAGAAGTAGTGGTGTGGTGTATACGTGTAGTCCCAGCTCTTCTGGAGGCTGAGGCATGAGAGTTGTTTAAACCTGGGAGGTGGAGGTTGCAGCGAGCCGAGATTGTGCCACTGCACACTCCAGCCTGGGTGAAAGAGCAAGACTTGTGTCTTCAAAAAAAAAGTGTTTTTTGTTGTTTGTTTTTTGTTTTTTTTAATGAGTTCTACAGACTGGGTTGAGGAAGGAAGGGCTGGAATTCCCAGGAAACGCTCCCTACCTGTTGACACAGCTAGCTGAGTAAAGGATAAGTAAAGGAGGCCTGTAGCTCACCTATTGTGCTTCTCTGGTTTGCTCTTCCCCTCCCTTCCTAGTAGGTTCCCTTTCTGAAAATGCTGGCCATGTCTCGGCTCAGCTCAAATGAAAAGATGTCACTGGAAGCCCCCAGCAGAAAACAAGAGGTCCCCGGCAGAGCCCCTCCCTGCTCACCCCTCCTCCCGCCCGTGCCACCACCCAAGACCAGGGCCATGTGAGGGGGTGCAAGCAGAGTGTCTCGGGGGAGCCTGGAACGTGGTGCATTTAAGGTTAATGCAGCCCCAAACCTTCTGGTTTTATCACCAGGAATTGGAGATCTGGGAACAATTGAGCTAAATTATTTTTGTAATTAAGTCCAAAGTAAAGGGAACATTCTGGGCTTCTTGTCTAGTTCAGAGAAATTGATTCCAGCATTAATGTGTTTTTAAAATGAAACATAAATTTACAGCCTGCTCAATGGACTCACTGCACAGTCTTAAAACCAGTCATGGCTCTCACAGTCCTGCCTCCCACCTGGAGCTGGCTCACTGGGCCCACTCCCCACTCACAGCATCTGGCCCACCCACCAGGCAGGGAGCAGAGCAGCCTTCATCCCTGCACAGGGGTATAGCCACCTCCAACTTCCCAAATGATGACCCAGACCTTCCTGGGATGCTGCACCGAGACCAACATGGCAGCTGTGCAGGCCAACATGGCAGCTGTGGATATCCACCTGGCACTGCTTCCACAGCAGGAAATGGGAAAGCCTCCACGGCCACTGGGGTGGCCTGAGGCCAAACAAGCAGCCAGGGGCACTCCCTGGGCAGATACAGACAAGGCCAATACAAGGCAAACCTGTGTGGCATCACGTGGGCATGGGTGAGGTGGGACACTGCTTGTGAATGGGTGACAGTAGGCACGTGTGCTTCCGAGTGGTGAAAATGTGCAGATGGGTGCGGCTGTTGGGGGTGTGACAGTGAGTGTGCTTGTGAATGTGTGTGACGATGTGTGACAGTGAGTGTGCTTGGGAATGTGTGTGACGATGGGGACGTGTGTTTGTGAGAAGTGTGTGTTGTGCACAGAGAAGTGAAAGCTGAGAGGCTACAGTCAGAGCTGCAACAATGGGGCTTCTGGGTGGAGGGATGGAGAGTGGAACTGTGCCCTTTGTGCACGTTTCAACATGCCCAATGAGCATGTACATATTTTATTACCAATAAATCAAAGATTCTTCAAAACACTAGACACCATCCACCTGTCCCTTTTCCAGCTCTCCCGGCGATGCTCTCCCTGCATTTCCTGTTATGTGAGGCCAGGTCCTAGGCCCATCTCCCAGCAGAGAGGTTTTGAAAGACCCCTCACCTCCCATGGCTGCCAGGTCCCAGGGGAGCCCAGGAGTCCGTGGCAGAGCTGCTACTAGAATGAGATGGTGCCCCCACTCCAGACTGGCCCTGCTCACCATGCCCCAGGAAGTCATCAGTGGGCAGGAGGGCTTTTCCCGGAACAGGTTTCCTGTCCAGAGACCCTGGTTCCAAGCCCATGTTGATCCACTCTCTGGGAGTCCGGCAGTCAAACTCCTCATCGTCAAATACCTGGAAGAAAACAGGCCAACAGTGGGAGAAAGCGGCTCCTCTAGTGGAGTCCCAGTGGGGCTGGGTGTCCCAAAGGATGGGTTGCTTAAGTAGCCCCTTCCCCAGGTGAGAGAGCTGCAGGCTAGAGCTGGGGGCAGACCCTCTCCACTGCTGCTCCAGGGGTACACAGCCTCTGCTTGGGTGAAACCCTGGATCCCCATCTGGCCAAGCCAGCTGAGGCTCAGGCATAGAGGTGTCCAGGGACCCAGAACAGGCGGTGGGTTCTTTCTCCCACTGCCCAGGGCCACCTAGCTCAGGCCCAAGGGAAGAGGTGGCCCTTGGGTTTTCCTGGGGAACCCCACCCCAACTTGGAAATGATAAGATTCAGGGCTGTCAGGAGGTAGCCCTTGGCTACACTCAGATTTACCTTCTCACAGGGATCACCAGGCAAGAACACTCAGGGCCACAGAGAGGAAGGGAGGGAGGTGGGTGAAAGCCAGAGCCAGGCCACGCTCCCTCTTTCTCCTCCCTGGATTCAGTTTCCCCATTTATAACCAAAGGAGACAGCACTGATTCCTTCCTCCATCCTGCTCTTCCCGTTTCAGTGAGCCCAGAAGGAGCTCCTTACCCCAAGGTGGGCCCTGGTCAGGGAGGACTACTCCACAGTCCAGCTGGGCTGCATCTAGGTTGCCCATGGGTGGCATGGAGGCTAAGGCCAGGCATACAGGCTGCTCAGGCTCCCAGGGAAGAAGCAAAGACTCAGCATTCCAGGGGGGCTGGGGGCCCCTCCTGCCCCATCTAGGATGCTCAAAGTACCTGGGATGGGTTCCTATTATTGACCTGCCCTGTTTGATAAGAGAGTGCTGGTGACTGGCATGAGAATCCCCTTTCAGATCTGACTCCGGGGCTTCTGCTGGGGTCCTGTACCTCTGCAACCCTGTCCATCAACCATCTAAGGAAGCCCGGCTCACCTTCAGTGGGAGGTAGATGGGGAAGAGTGGGTCATTGCCCTGCTCGATGGTTTGGCGGTGCTGGGGGTCCGGGTGTCTGGGCATGAGCTTGTTGGAGTCGATGCCCTGGCTGGACAGCAGCTGCTCAATGTCCAGGCTCAGATACTGCTGTTTCCTCCTGGTCAAGGGCAGGGAGGGGACCTCAGAATGGCTTGGTTCATGTGAGGTAGCTCCGCGTGCGTCCACAAGGGCCCATGGGGTTGTGGGGGCAGGGGTGTGGCCAAGAGACCCTTCTGGAGCCCTCCACCCCTCTGGGACTCATCAGGAGGTGATGCAGTGGCCAGGGCTGGTGTCCCGGGCTCCAACTGTCCTTCTGTCCTGCCCTGCAGTCCCATTCGTTGACCTCAATGCCACCTTCCCCAATTCCATAATATGTAAATTGTTCCTATTAAGAGACCGAAGGGCTAGAAGATTTTTTTTTCTTTCTTTTTTTTCCTGATACTAACTCCAGGTAAGGGCTAGAAGATTTTAATCCAAGCACTTGTGCAGACTCTGCCATGAGCAATATCACCTGGTGATCTGCAGTTCCTCAACCCCTGAGACAGGCAGGTGCCGCCTCCCGGACAGTCTCCCCACAGCCCACCCAGCCGTACCTCTCGATCTCAATCTTGCGGGGGCGCTGGCCCGGCAGCACCTGGAAAGGCACCTGCACCTTGGGCTCATAGGCCTGAGGCGGGAAGTCAGTCTGGGCCAGCAGCCGGGTGGTGGACCCGATGCACTGTTGCTCTATGCGCTCCTGGAAGTCCTTGGGAACCTGGAAGGTTCCGACTGCAGGCAGAAGCAGAGACAGGGGCGTCGGGGCTCGGGCTGGCACCCAACAACCAGCCTCCACCCCATAAAACAAATCATCAACCAGGCAGTATGCTTTGGAGTGTGGGAAGCTCAGGGCCTGCCTGTGGCTGGAAGAAGATAGGCAGGGCACCAGGTGCCCTGGGGGTATGAGCCTGGAGGGACGGCAGCTTCCAGAAGGTCTGTCCTGGCCCTGCTCTCCCTGTTGAGAGCCAGCATGCTTGACCACTCCTTTTCATACTACCCATGACTCCAGCACCAGGGGCCACTGCTCAAGCCAGGTGCTGGGTTCACCAAGGGCGAGGGTTACCACTGGACAGGAAAATGAAATGGGATGAGCTCCTCCCACCCCTACTGCAGAGGCCCCCTCAGCATATTGGAGTCTGATATTTATTCCCTGGGGCCATTGCCAGCTTGAGGCAATGGATACTCTGGGAGTGGGTGGCTCCACCACTCTGACCCTGCAGATCCCTCAAGTCACAAAATGGCTGCCCCTACTTAGATGAGCAGGGTAGACAGAGGCTTCCATTCCATACCTGGGGGAAGGGGAGTTGGTGGGGAGAGACCCATTGATAGGGTGACAATCCATCCCAGTTCGACCTCGACACCAGATGGTCAATGGAGAAGAAAGTCCCAGGCAAAGCGAGACCACAGAGGTGGGCAGAGGGCTGTGGGCATTTGCTTCAGGAGGGGATGGCCATATTTCCCAGGGCCTGGATGGGCTCCTGATGGTTCCCTCTATTTTCTGGGCAGAAGTAGGGCCCAGAGTCCCAGGGGCCCTGGGAAACCCTGGTGACCCCTTCCTTAGGCCTCACCACCTCCCTGGGACCAAGAGGTGGTCATGTTGCAGGAGGGCCCACCCTGGGAGTGGCATCTGGGTCCTACAGAGGGCTCCAGAGGTGGGGCCTGGGTGGTGTCCAAGACTCAGCGGAGTCTCCACTATCAGCTGGAGTCTGCTCTCACCAGGCTTCCAGGTAGTCAAGTGGCACCCCTCTTTGCATCAAAAACACCCAGATCTCAGGGCTCCAAGAAGGCAGTTTTCAGAGCCCTAATCACAAGCTCTTGAGGCTGCCTGACACCACTCCACCCCCAGGACCCACTCAGTGGCCAAGAAGGAGCCAGGGCAAAGAGATCCACGCCTGGCCTCCAGCCCCTGCTGCATCCGAGGGCCAGGGGAGGCTACTGGCTGCCGAGGGCCCTGACTGACACTACCCTGTGCTGCTTTTTCTCATGTGGGCAGAGCTGCCATCTGCAGATCACCCCCCTGGCCACCCTGCCAAGTGTGGCAGGAGCACCATTCCCAATATCCCCAGTGCTGATCTGCCGTTGGTAACCATTTTCTGGATCACAGATACTTGTGTGAGACCATTGGAAACAATAGGCCACATGCTCAGATAAGTGCACAAATGCACATGCTTGTGATGTTTTCTAAGGCGGTGGGCTCCGAGAGGACTAGCCTGGACAGTGGCAGCAAGGAGCCCGGTCTTCCCTGGGGGTGGGGAGGAGGGGCAGCCAGGGGGAGCCACAGGGCATCTGGGCCTGATCCAAGGGGATATCCTGTCTGTCAGGGGAGAGGGGCAAACCCGGCCAGGTGGGAGGCTTCACCACCACTCAGGGCTTCTCCTGGAGCCCCTGTTCTCCCCTCTGCCACTAGGGAAGGCCCCACACCCTGCAGATGTCCCAGTCCTTGCCACCCCCACTGTGCTCTGAGACTCTCCATGAGCCTGAGAGGAGGGGCCCCCTTTTCTCCTGCAGCAGGGATCTCCCGGGCATCCATCTGAGCCAGGCCCTGTTTCAGGTGCTGCGGCTCCAGCAGGGAGCAACTCAGACAGTCCGGGCCTCCTCAGAGACCACATTCCAGAGGAGACAGAAAATACACATATATGCCCTTCTGACCTCAGCCAGGGAAAGCAAGCTGTAACCCTGACCCTAGCAGCCCATTCCTGCCCGGCCCAGTGTCAAGGTCATGGCTCCACTGAGAGTAATGACTTGGCAGCTGTGGCTGACTGAGCACTCACTGTTAGTGGGCACTTGTGAAGCACCCTGTTTCTTACTATCCTGACTCCACAATTGAGGAAGCTGGGGCCCTCAGCCAGGAAAAGGCTGTCTCCCTGAGGCCAAAGGCCTGTTTCTAAATACCTGTCTGGACCCACTCACACAGCCCTCCCAAGCACTGACCTTTTGGGGTGAACTTGTCGAGGTCAGCCTGCCGCAGGAGGCTCTGGCTCATTCGGGGGCCACGGCACACCTCCTGAAAACAAACATGGAGCCCTGAGTGTGCGTCAACATCCCAGAGACAGGCAGGACCTGGAGGGACCCCAAGGCCAGGTACCTCCCTTGAGGCCCACCAAGGAGCACTCCAGGAGCACAGGAGAGGGCAGAACCGGGGGTACGCACAATTCTCCATTCAAAGGCCACAATGGGCAACAAGCTTTGGCCACCCAGGACATTCTGGCTCCGCCCCATTCTGGTCCAGCCCAGCTCTCTTCCTTGCTCTGAGAACACTCTGCAGTGCATCCCAGGGCTGAGCCATGAAGCAGGTACTGCAAGGCCAGCAGGTATCTCTGTATGGACCTCCTCTCCCAAGGCCACCGGCATTGCAGACGTAATGCGCATCAGTGGGTCCTTGACATGTCTTTCTTAGCCCCTCCCTGGCCTAAAGCATAAGGCTACCTAGGACCTACAGGACTCTGAATTCTCTCCTCATCATTCCCTCCCTGCTTTCCCCTGCCCCCAGCCTCCTCCCTCGATCTCTCCCCTTGAATTCTAGCCTCCTTCTTCACACAGCCGTGCCCTCTCTCAGGGACTCCAGGTATTTGTACCTGTTGTCTCCCCTGCCTGGAACATGCTCCCAGACCCCACTTTTACATACCTGTCTCTTAGATCTCAGCAATACGCCACCTCATCCATGGACCCTTTCCAACCAGAGCCAAGGGAGGCGGTCTTCCCTACCAAAGCCACTGCCCCATGACAATGACAATAGGGACATAGGTGTCTCATCCCTGCTGCATCTCTGGGGCTCCACAGAGGGCCTGGTACATAGCAGGAGCTCAGTAATGAGTTGTCAAATGAATAGACGGATGGTGACAAAAAAGGATGGAAGGTTGGATGAGGGGGGAATGGGGGTAGATGGACAGACAGATGGATAGATTGATAGACAGCTAAATGAACAGATGAACTGACTGATGGGGAGAAGGATGAAAGGATGGGTGAATGGAGCCCAGAGGAAGGGTTGAGGCTTGGTAGGGGACAGCTGCCATACTCACTCCAAGTTGATCCAAGGTTCCAGGGCTGAGGATGTCGGAGTAGAACCCACGCTGCTTCATCAGCGGGTACTTCTTATCAGTGCCTGTCAAGGGTGACTTCTGCGGCTGCCCCAAGTCTGAGAGTGTGGGTGGGGCTGGGGGCAGGGGTAAAGGTGGGAGCTTGGGGTCAAGGCCTGGAGGATTCCCCAACCTATATTCTGATCCTGGAAGAATCCTCCCTGGGTTATACTCTACGCCCCTGTGAGTCCCTGCTTGGACCACAGGAGCACTGCTGCCTTCTGGGCCCTGAGGGGTCCTTCCTGGGCTACAGCCTTTTCCGTTAGGCTGCTCCATGCTGCTTCTCAGGGAGATGTCCCAGCCGAAGCTCCTAGGAGAAGATCCCAGCATCAGTCAGCTTTTGCCGGCCTCTGTCTCAGCCCGAAGACACACGGATGCCTAGATTGTTACCCACCACAAGCCCCAGCCCATGACCCATGGGTAACAGAAGAGCAAGGAGGAGGGAGCGGTCTCCTCCTAATCTGGACAGGCACCTGGTGCACCAGGAGATGGTGAGGACTGCCCTGGACACTGCATGTGAGAAAAGGGCCCACCCACAGTTCCGGGCTGAGTGAGAAGCCCTGCAGACGCTCCCAACCCATGCATGAGACTGCACTTGTCCACCCCTCTCCCCCATCTTATAGAGCAAGGCCTGGCTTCTCAGTAGGGGGAGATGGGGAGGGAGGCCCAGAGCTTACTTGCCCAATAAATTTCCCTAAAATGACTTTCAGCCAGAGCAGCCCCGGCACCTCCAGCCCAGCCCTGCTAGACTTCCCTGCCTTTTCCCAGTGTGGGGCATGAACCTCCCTAGCACCTGTGTGTGCTGGGCCATGCCCTGCCTCCCCTGTGTGTGCCCACTCTACCTCCCCCCATACCCCAGGAGCCAAAGGACTAAATGGCCTCTCTAGCAGGACCCCAATCCTGACCCTCCATTGGCCCACAGATCCCTCTACCAGCAACAAAATCGCATTCACCCACCGTGGCTCTCAGGATCAGATCAGCTCAGAAAACGTACACCCTCTCCTGTCTTTGCAAAGGAAGTAGCAGATGCCACCGGGGTGCATGCACATCCACCACCTGGAAGACAAGAGTTTATAGTTTTTATTGTGGGAGGAGCAAGCCCTTGAAAAGGCACTGTTGCCTTTGGCTGCCTCAAAATTCATCACCATGGAGAATCCTTGGGTAGGAGAACATGACAATAAATTGGACAAGGGGATGGTGAAGAAGAGGTTTGCACATAATGCTAGTGCAAAAAATAAAAAGGAAATATACAAATATCTCAATAAAAATTTCACTTAAAAAAAAAAAGAGGCCGAGGTGGATCACCAGGTCAGGAGTTTGAGACCAGCCTGACAAACATGGTGAAACCCCGACTCTACTAAAAATACAAAATTAGCCAGGTGTGGTGGCATATGCCTGTAATCCCAGCTACTTGAGAGGCTGAGGCAGGAGAATCACTTGAACCCAGGAGGCAGATGTTGCAGGGAGTCGAGACTGTGCCACTGCATTCCAGCCTAAGAGACAGAGCGAGATTTCATCTAAAAAAAAAAAAAAAGAAAGGTAAAGAGCATCTTAACAAAAGGAAATAGAGGCCTAGCCCAAGCAAGTCCCCCTTTCCTGGCCCCATCCCATTTTCCCATCCCTTCTGCATACTGAGACAAAGAGCCAAGAACTTGAAGAACAGGGCACTCTTTTTGCTGGGATTTTGTGCTGGTGTAGGCCTCCTGATGGATCACGGTAGGTAGCTCTGGCCTGCACTGACCTGAGGAGTGCGGTGGATGGCCAGGGCTGTCTAGAGCAAAACTACCAGCAGTGCTGAAGCATACGCAGCAGCTGAGCCCATTTCTAAGAAGAAGGTGGTGAGTTGGCAGGCCGCTTGAGGGACGCAGAAGGGCAGATGGGGCTCTGGCAGGAAGCTCCAGACACTCAGCCCAAAGGCCGAGCTGCCTCCAGCCATTCGGGCCTGACAGGCTTCCCCCAGTGGAACTCCACTCCCTGAATCCAGTCTCTGGTGGCCAGCTGCCTCCCAGGGCAGGTGCTGAAGACAATGCCGAGTCTGGCTCACCTGTCTAACAGTCACCAGCCCTTCTCAGAGCACCCTAAAGAACAGAGGACCCCTTAGGGCTCAGCTTCATCAGGCTGCAAATCCATAGATGTTTCATCTTTGAACAAAATCACCCAAGAGAGCAGGGCTTGGAGAGGACAGGGTCCCCAGCTCCACAAGAGAGCATTCCATTCCATGATTTCCTCAGCTCTCAGGTGGGCCTGAGCATGCTTGATTTGCTTTACTGGTGCCATTATAAGGAGTTAGATGGATCTTCAGATAACAGATGTGCAAATGTCTAAGAAACTGCAGGGTTGCTGAGGGCAAAAGGAGTCCATAATGGGTGAACTTGCTGCCCCGGTAAACTGTTTCCCTCCACACAAGCTGGCAGTGGGGGGATACACCGAGGCGTGTCCCGAGGAGGGTTTGAGAGTGAGCTGCAAACTCAGAATGCTGCTCCCCCCCATCCCCAGCCCTTCACAGTGGCTCCCTTCCAGCTCTGCCCCCATTCTGGGCACCAGTGCATTAGCAGTATATGCAGGAGCTAGGACAGACAGACAGACAGAAAGACCCAGTCTGCCTCCTGCCATGGCCCCACGGGTGACAGCAGTCTCTGTCTGGAAATGCGTGTGATCAGCAGCGGGGAGAAGGACATGGTTCCCAGCAAGGCCTCTGCCCCTGGTCATTCTGGGTGGTTCCCCCTGTGTGTTGAAGGGGCTGGCCAGTGAGATGGCAGAGGTGGCCCTGGTGGACACAGTGTTGGGAATGGTGAATGTTATTGTGGGCTTAGATTTATTTTATGCATCAACTCATTTAAACTACTGAGGTGGGAACTGATAGTATTCTCATTTCTCAGAGGCAAGAAAACGATGCTCACAGTGAACCCAAGTTCTTTCTCCCCACTCAGATTACCTGGAAGCCCTATTGGCTTGAGCCAGAGGAAGCTGCTGGTTGGATTCACTGTCATTCAACCCCATTTGACTCAACCAGTCACCAAGCACTTGGCTGAATAGACACAGATGAATAGGGGCATTCCATCCTGGCACCAGGTACTACTGTTATTGTCAATTTACAACTAAGGGAACTAGGGCCCAGGAAAGTAAAGAAACTTGCAAAGGTCACACAACCAAACACTGGCAGAACCAGAATGGAAACTGAGGTCTTCACTTCTGGCTGACCCAAAGGTCCATGTTCTAGCATCACCACAGTGGTTCTCCAACTGGGTGCTGAGATTTTGCAAAGGGGGGCACCTAAGCAGGAGGGCTTCTATGCCACCCACCCCTGATTCCACAGGACCCTCCACCTTTATCCATTTCACACCCCAGGGTTCTTCATAAGCAGACAAATGAATCTGTGGCTTCAGGGGATTTTGGAAGTCTCTGCCCTTGAGGCTACCAGGCAAACAATACCACGAATGGTTAGTGCTCCCCCAGGCTTGGGGTTCTCTCCACCATTTTGAAGCATTCACCTGATGCAAACTGCCCCCATGACTGTGTCTTTCCCCTCCACCGTACATCTCCCTGTATTATATGTGCACATACCTTTCCTGTCAGCTGGGCAGGCATTTTCAAGTAACATTGATCTCTGGAAACTTGGCACCTAGCACGGGACTGGCATGGGCTTGGCACACAGCTGGTGCCTAGAAAGTACTTGCTGAATGATTGTGTGAACAAATGACCTAATGGATGGGCGAAGTGGAGGAAGGAATGAAGGTGACCTCTGTAACAACTCTGGCAGAGATCTGGAGCGGGACTGGGTAGCTGATGGGACTTCCACACGCTCAGCATGGCGATGGGGCCCAAAAACTGGTCTGGTAAAGACAGTACTTAACTGCAAAGCTGTTTAAAGTGCACCTCCCGGCCGGGCTCATGCCTGTAATCCTAGCACTCTGGGAGGCCGAGGCAGGCGGATCATTTGAGGTTAGGAGTTCAAGACCAGCCTGGCCAATATGGTGAAACGCCAGTCTCTACAAAAATACAGAAATTTGCCGGCATGGTGGCAGGTGCCTGTAGTTCCAGCTACTCAGGAGGCTGAGGCAGGAGAATCGCCTGAACCCCGGAGGCAGAGGTTGCAGTGAGTGGAGATCGCCCCACTGCACTCCAGCGTCGGCGACAGAGCGAGACTCAAAAATAATAAATAAATAAAATAAAGTGTACCTCCCTTCTCTCCCCCTGGCCAAGGTTCGGTCCAGCAACCAGACTCCTACGAGATCCCCCACCCCGGCCACTCGTCCTCCGCGCCTTTTCGAGGTCCCGCTGCCCGCACAGGCCCCACAACCCCTCCGCCTCACCGACCTACCGGCTCCACCGAGCAGTGCGGGACGCGTCAGCCCCGTCTCTAGGGAGGGACGCTGAACCGTTGCTAAAGGGGCGGGGCCATCGGCACCGCGGGGCGGGAGCTTCCGTCCGCGAGCCTCCACAGCCTGAACCCATGTCTACCCCCAGCTCCTGGTCTCGGTTACTTCCGCTCAGGGAGCTGGGCCTTGGGTGTTCCAGCACAGGCCCCTATCGCCGGGATTAGGGCCGGCCAGGGAGTGCCACTGTTCTAGGCTCCACTACCCATCCATCTTCCCTCCTGTGCCCTTGTAGAGTAAGCGACGAAAACAGCCAGATGCAGTGTGAGAACTTTGATTAAATCCTGATTTAAATACATATACATATGTAAATAATTTGGGGAGGACTAATTGGGGAAATTTACGAATTGGAAGTTGGCATTTAAGTCACAGCTGCGGGACAGCTGGTCAGGGCACTGCGGAAAGGGTGGGTTCTGGTCCTCCTGGGGCTTGGCACACACAGCCACACCCACCCATTGCCGGGCGATTCCACTGAGGCCAGTGCCTCAGGGCTTGGCTCAGGCGCCCACCCTCTAATGACCATCATCTGCTCCCAGAACCTGGCATGGGTTCAGGTTTTGATCCTCCTGTCCTATTCTGAATACTGAATTGTTAATTTTCTTAGATGTGATAATGCTACTGCAGTTGTATCAGATTCTCCTTAGTTGATATGGCCTGAAGTATTTCAGGAAAACCGGGCAGAATGTCCACTACAATTTCCTTTCAAATGGTTCAGCAAAAGCATATACAGGTGAGTACAGCTAGATAAAAAGAGAAAGAGGAGATAAAGCAAAAGTGGTGCAAAAGAACGATTAGGGAATCTGAAGGTCACAGACGTCCACTGTACCAGTCTTCCAATTTTTCTGTAAGGGAAAAGTGGTTTACAAACCAAAAGAAAAAGATCACCCCGCTTGTACCTGAGAATCCCTTCCCAGAGCCTTCTCAAAACTGGCCCTCATTCCATAGATGGGGAAACTGAGACTTGGTGAGGCGGTTAGTGTTGGGGGAGGTCGTAGGCCTTGCTGTCGAATTTTACTTGGTGTTTTAGTAGTGCTGGCTTGGTGCCAGGCCTTTGCTGGGCACTAACTGTCCGGAACTGAACTGGACCCTACCCACACTATAAATTGTATTACATGGAAAAGATAGAGAGGCCAGGCCACGAGGAACCCAGAGGCAGGGCGTAAGCTGTGCCTGGAGACACTGCTTCCGCCCTTGCACAGGCTTCTGCTTCCTCTGTCCAGAACTTCTCTCTCCATCAACTCCTGCACCTGGGAGGACTCCTACTCATCCTTCAAGACCTGATGCCGGTGCAACCTTTCTTGAACCCAAACCGTGGTTTTATTTTTCTTGTTGGCATTCGCACAGTAGGTACTCAGTGATCACTGCAGAAGGAAGGAGTGTTAAGGTGAACTGGAGGCAAGGTGTCCACAGCTCTTAGAATGGACAGGGACCCTATAGCCCTGTTCAGGGCAGTCTGGCTGCTCCATGGGTCTGGGTACAGGCTGGGTACCCCTCTTGGCCTGTAGAGAGGCACCTGCTTCCCTGCTTTTGCCTGGCACTTTCCACACTGGGTACAGCTGTCCAAAAACCTGCAGCATCCATCCGGGTTGCCACGGCAACATCAGCCCATGGTGGGACGTCAGGGATGAGAGGGGCCGAATGCTAATCCTGGAAAGTTGCCAAGCAACACCGTGGGTTGGTGACATCACAGGGGCCGTGGCTGCTGGACAGATGGACAGGCCACAGCTGAAACGGTCCACTCTCAGGAGGCCCAACTCATAGAACCACTCACTACCTACCATGTAATAGTCCGCTTTTTCTCCCAACTGGAGCATGGACTTGAGGGGTGGGGGCCAGGGGGAGCTGCTTTTACCAGCAGCCCTGCCAGCTCTACCTCACCCCTCTTCAAGGGTAGGCTGTGGATATGACTGCCTTCCTCCTCCCTGGCAGAAAACCATGAGTCAGTCCCTATTCTCCTGTGTCTCAAGAGTCACCCTCTAATGCTCTGGTTTCTCCCTGGCTGGGCAAGGTTCAGGCTTTGGTCTTCTTGCCCTGTCCTGAAGGGTACCATACTTACCTTGCTCCCTGGGAAAGGGGCAAGGGGCTGAGCCATGACCCACTAGGCTCCTGCCTCTCTTGTGATGGGAGGGCCGTCTTTTGCCCTGAATAAGCTGGAAGAGAGGTCAGCCTTACTGTTGTTGAAATGGGAGGACTGGGTTTCTACAAGAGTTGGGGAGTCACTGCCCATCTCTTGCTCAGAGCCCCCTTGCTGAGGACTCTGGTGGCCTGAAAGCTGGGGGACTGGGCAGATGGGCTGCTTGGGATGCCTTGGCCCAGGGCCATGCCTTTCCAGCATGGGGTCTGAGGGTATGGTAGGTCTGCACACCCTCACCCTGTGCCTCCTTGCTGGCTGAGACAGGAGCAATGCTTCACTGGCTGCAGAGATGAAACCCCCTTGTGAATGGGCAGCAGAATGGGCCCTTCATGTGGCCGGCCAGCCAGAACGGAAGGTGACTGGCATCCAGACTGGGTGGCTGAGCCACCCACTCCCCACCTGCCCCCAGCCTGCCTCTTGGGCTCCCAGGATCTTCCTCTGATTTTCTAGGCCTGGGGCCCTGAGCTATGCCAAGAGAAAGTGAGTTGCAGGCATGGGGGTGGGGGGTCAGAGATGAGACTGGGTGAGGTCTAGGATTCACCGCCTCCCAGGCCTCCCCGACATAAGCCTCCCTCCCATTGCTCAGCTGGCCTCAGCAGCTCTGACCAGCATAATCATTTCTTTGATGAATAAAAAAGAAGACAATTCCCCTTTGATCCACATGATCACCTTGACAGACAAGACCTTGAAAGCCCAAAGCTCAAGGAAGAAGTAGTAGAATGGAGTTTCTTGGGGGCTGGAGGATTAGAGACCACTGGCCCATGAATAGACTGTCTTCATCCATCACAGCCCCCACCCAATCCAATGCCCACTTTTACTCCTGTGCAGCCTCCCTGCCGGAGCCTCCTCCCTCTTTTTTTCTCTATAATCTTCCATCCTATCTTGGGCTACTCCTCAGGAAGCCCTCCCTGAGTGCATTGGCAACAAAACACACACTCTCCTCAGGGTCCTTGAGGACCATAGTCAGTACCACTGGGCAGATGACATTAAAATGATCACTGCTGAGTCCCTCAGTGGGAGGGTGGGCTTGAGCCATGGGCTGGTAACATCACAGGGGCTGTGGCTGCTGGACAGATGGACAGGCTGCAGCTGAAAGGGCCCACTCTCAGGAAGCCCAGCTCACAGAACCACTCACTCTCTACCATGTGATGGTCACTGCTGTTTCTCCCAACTGGAGGGTGGGCTTGATGGGTGGGACCAGGGGGTTCTGGGGCAGAGGCATGGCTTTTCTCAGCAGCCTGCCCATGCATCAGTCCAGGAAAGACCCAGAGAAATGACTGGAAAATACAGCAACCCACTTGGGGCCACCACCCCAAAAATAGTGGCTGTTGACACCAGCCCAGCTGCACTTGACCCCACATGATCCCATCCTCACCTCCTCTCCCCCAGCCTACTTTTCTCTGACCTCCATCTGAGGGTCCAGGATGCTGAGGCTCTGCACTCCAGAAGCAGCAGCCCTGGGAGGGATGCCCGCTGGCCCCCAACTTCCTGGACCAAAGCACCAGGTGGCAGGCTCTGAGACAGAGACATCTTCCACAGGACATTTCCCAGGGGGGCCCAGGAGCTGCACAGGAAACTGTTTATTATAATTAGGCTCTGAGCACCTCTGATTTTCCCTCAGCCCCAAGGAGCTTGGTGAGCGTCAGCTGAGTAATATCTTGGCAGAGTGGGTGACTTCATCATCTTGGCCCTGTGACCCACCAGGTGCCCCCACTCCTACCTTCCAGGGAGCCTGGGTTTGCTGAGGCTTAACTGGGCCCACCCATCCACCCGTCCCCCAAGGCTGGCCACTCTGAGGACCAGACTGCCAGCCTGACCTTTCATCCACTCCTAGAAAGGGCTCTGGATGGGGCAGGAGGGCTGGGTTCTTCTGGGCAAGTCCCTTCCTTTGCTAGGCCTGTTTTTCTTTGGCACAGTGAGGAACAGAAACCTTGCCCAGCATCACGCTGGGGTCATCGGCACAGAGTAGTGTGAGGGACACCAGGACTTTCCCTGCTCCGAATACTTCCATTCCTGGCAAAAGCACTGCCCTTCCCAGACCTCCAGGAGGGAGTATGTAAGAAACTCCCAGCATCTCAGTAAGGAAGGGTTTGTTCCAAAGAGATGGAATCCCTCACTCCCAAAGGTAGAGCAGCCCTCGTCCTCACCATCCCTTGCAAATGGCCTGCCTGCTTTGGCCTGGGGACGTTCAAACAGCTGGGGTGTCAGTTAGAGCTGACAACTTCCTTGGCAATCTGCTGTCACACTCTGGGTCTGCAAACGGAGGTGGCAAGAAGGGAGGGGTCTCACCCAAAGTCACGGCAGAGTGGGATGGGAACCTGCGGCTGTCCTGCCGGAAGCAGGGAGCCGCAAGGAAAAGACCACAAGACAAAGACCCATTGCCATGGGAATCCCACTTCCCTTTACAGGAGGAGGGGGGCATCTGCCCTGGCCTCGCACTTCTCTCACCCTTGCTCCCTCCTCCACTCCACCATCCTGAGGTGAGGCATCAGAGAGCCTGCAGGCAGGCCTGCCTTATGGCCAGACACTGATAGTTGCTAGGGTCTCAGTTTCCCTGTTTATGGAAGAACTCGACTGTCCACCCCAGGACCCCCAGCCATCCTCCATGCTGCCCCATGTGGAGCACTCTCCTCCTGGAGAGTCCCCACCCCACTGTCTTTCTCCTTCCCCAGTACTTCTGATAGGCCATTCAAGAGCCTGGCACTGGATGGGTGCGGTGGCTCCTGCCTGTAATCCCAGCATTTTGGGTGGATCATTTGAGGTCAGGAGCTCAAGACCAGCCTGGGCAACATGGTGAAACCCTATCTATACTAAAAAATACAAAAATTAGCCAGGCGTGGTGGCGCATGCTTCTGGTCCCAGCCACTCGGGAGGCTGAGGCAGAACTGCCTGAACCCAGGAGGCAGAG